CTATTGGGGGTTGAGCTGCCTTCAGTCTTGGAATTTCTCGAGGATACGGATCGGTTTCTTCGAACCTTGCCATCTCGTCGCACACTGTTTGCGCCAGCACTTGCATTTGAAGCTGAGCGGCCGAGGCTCGAGTTCCGCTTCGGGTTCGGGGTGATGGGGTTGCTGGCAGGTCCGGATTCGACCTCCTTCTTCGTCTTCTCGTCAGCTGCAGTTCCCTGCATGCCAATGAGGAAGTGATCCTGATTCTCGATCAAGAAAATGATGACGCATTGGTTGAGGCGGTATTCTTCGGGGGCCATAGCGTGCGCAGGGTGGGACAGCATTCCAGGTTGGAAAATAGCTGCCAAGTTCTGCGAGTTCATGCGATTCTCGTCCGCCTTTGCGGCAAAAACGGCGAGAAGATCGAGGATGTACAGCAGCAGTTGCCTATTAAGCGGGGGCAGCTCGGTGATGAGTCTCTGGTACTCCTCAATGGCGGACATCTCATTGAATTGTTCGATAAATTGTGGGCCCTCGACATCACCCACGGCTTGCTTCGTAGCTCCCCTCAAGGGTTCGCGGAACTTTTCGTAGAGATCCAGGGGAACAACAGGCTCCGGGAGGTCGTTGAGGTATCTGCGTAGGACATTGGCGGCATCGTGAACTGTGTAGCCATCCCAGACAAGGCCTTTGCCGTATCTGTCAGGAGAATCGAAGACAGTTTTGAGCTCTTTTATTCTCTTTTCCGAACCGCTTAGGCGGAAGATTCCTTCAACACCGGTGGCTGGTAACCAAGTCAGCAAATATGCCGATGTATTGTAGCGTCATTGTGCACATACCCTTCTCTTTGAGGAAGACGCCGCATTTTGCGACGACTATAGGAACATAACCATAAATATAGCTCTTCCCCCTCTCGTCGATTAGCGAAATGGCTACATTTGCATATGTTATACTTTGTCGAAGCGGAACTCCGAAGATGCCCTGAGGCCGGTGTTCTAGCGAGATCAAAGTTAGAAATCGGCACCATATCGCGAAGCGTGGTCATTGCAGGCGCATTTGAGATAGTGTTGGTGAAGCATCGCGTCGATTGACGTGAATGCGCCAACGCCAGGGCGGGGGACATCACCACCGACATTTAAACACACGGCATCGCGAGAATCAAAGGAGGCAACTCGAGCGGGGAGAGCAGATATCAGGATCGGGGATTCTGGTCGTACCCGTATGTGTGGAGAGAGGCGTACCATGGGTTTCTTGGTGCTTGGAGGGTAGCTTGAATCCCTTCCACCAAGACTTGAGATCGCGTTTGTTCGGGGGCGACGCAGCGCTGTTAATCTGGATAGGCGGATGGGATGGCAGGTTGGAGTTGGGGGCGGCGGACGTCATGACGGGCGACGTCGCGTGGGGAAATCGGATCGGAGAGGAAGGCGGAATGTACGAAGGGTTCGACAGCCGCAACGGTAACGACGTGACAGCTGGGCCGGCCCAGTTGTTTGGCTCACGATAGCTCGACTTAGCCTCGACGTCGAGGTGCGGCGACGGGGTCGGCGATGTGGTCGACGATGGGTGGTCAGCGGTGGCAACGGTGGACAAAGGTTGGAGTCGATGGTGGGATTGAACAAGGCGAGGCTAGAAGCTGGGAACCGGAGAAGTGGGAGCGAGGAGTTGAAAGCCGTCTTCGCGCCCGTATGAAGGAGCAGGGTCGTTGATTGGTAGCGTCAAGGGCGTCAGGGAAGTAGGGCGTCAAGGCGTAAGTTTGGTTTGTTGGAGCGGGCGGGCCTGTGAGGGGTGAGGGTCGAAGGTCGAGATTCGGGATTCGAGGGATCGACTTCGAGGGGGAAACAAGTCGGTCGCGTTTTATGGGCCAAGTGGGCGATGGGAGAAGCGCGATGAAGGTGAGGCGCATAGCATGGAGGAAGAGGGACGTTGGGAGATGGGAGACGAGAGACGGGGGTGAGAGAGCTGTGCGTGGCCCCGGGGGGGGGTTGTCCTGGGAGGAGTACGTATTTGCCAGGTAAGGTAGTGAGGTCGCCGGGGCGAATGAATGATGTAGGTGGTAGCGTCGCGCGATGTCAGGCGAGTAGCTAGAACGGGCAGAGGGGCGAGGGGCCGGGCGTTGGCGTCGGGCTGGGCAAGGTCGGTTGGTATCAAGGTCGAGGTACAGGTGCAAGGCCTAGTACCTTGCCGAGCGAGGGTAGAGATGGAGTGCGCTGAAGGCTTTGTGGGAATCTAGTCTTGGAGCGAAGAAGACGTGGACAAGGTGTAGAGGCAAGGGAGAAGCGAGCGTGGGTGAGAAGGTGGGTGATCCGGGGGACAAGAGTCAGAGGAGGCAGGGGAGCAGGAGAGAGAATGGCAGAAAGGGTTGGATCGAGAGGGAGAGGGTGAGTGTGAGGGAGTATCAGAGGGAATGTCTGAGGGAGAGGCGTTGTGGCGGAGCAGTGCTGGAGAGGAAGTGGACAGTGGAGGGCACAACCACAACCACGACCACGACCACGACCACGGCGGGACAACGAGTGCGGTGCGGCGGTACGGCGTCGCGGGCGTCCACCTCAGTACCGAAGGTGAGAAGGTACCTTGCCTTAGGTAAGGTGGTAGGGTAGGCAGGAGGGAGGGAGGGGTGTGGGAGCCCAGGAGGGTACCTAACCGGACCTTGGAGAGCTCTGGCTGGGAGAGGCTGGCTCTGGATAGGTGCTCGGTATATCGTAAAGCCTAGGGCAGGGAAGCCTGAGGGATGGCCTGGAAAGCTCGTTTGCGAGGAGTGGTTTATTGACAGGGCGAGGCTGACGGTGTGAGCGTGAGGATGTAAGGGCGTAAGGGCGTGAGAGCGTGAGAGGGATGGATTGGATTGGACGTTTTATTGGAATCACGTGGATGTGAGATGTAAGAAATGGGAGAGAGGCAGCCGGAGATGAGGGACGGGAAGCCTCGTTAATTACCTTACCTTGATGAAAGCTGCCATTCAACAAGGGACGCAGGTGCACGGGACAGTGAGGTAGATGGAGAGGCAGACGAGATGGAGAATCGCCACAAAGATATTCGATAAATGGAGGTGGAAATGATTAAACAAAGACGGCCAAGTAGCAAGACGGCAAGGGCGAGAGCATGGTGTTTGATCCAATTCCTCTGTTCTATACGAATACACACTGCACAGTTAATACACATACCTACCGCCCGGGAGGTGGACGGGGACGCAGATGATTGCCCGCGTCAAGGCTGAATGAATGAATGAATGTACCTGTCAACACTAATTAATTATCAGGGCCCCTGTACAATGTGGCGAGCCCAGGGACGGGACGGGAACAAGCAGCTTGCCTGGGGGGGCGGCGCCAGGCTCTTCTGTAATTTCTCCAGCTCCCCTCCAGTGGATGTCTCCATTTCCAGCGGAGCCCTGTCGAGTCTTTCCAGTGGGCCATCCACGGCCCCGCCACTTCACCACGCCTCCTCCAGCTGGGGAGTACATGAAAAAGAACACGGAAGGCCGAATTCGATCCAGCACTTATTCAGGTAAGGTACCCAGATACCACAGTAAGGCATCCATCCGTGATAAACCATCTGCAGGCAGCAGCTAAATCCCGTCCGTGGCATCCTCTGCCCTATGACACCCGATCCAGGCCCCGCCACTGAAAGGGAAAAACGGTTAGTTATTCTAGGCTGAGCGGGGGGCTGCCTGCCTGGGGACATGTCCGAGTTACGAGTCCATATTTGGGTACCTCCGTAAGGCGTCTGGGACTTCGATTTCACGTACCTCAGTACTTAAGTATGGTTGACAGCTTGGAGGTCAATTCAGGCCAGGTTCGGGTCACCACAGCCCGCCCGCATCGACACGACAGGCCGTTCGCAGTCACGGCCCGAGCACGGGCGAAGATACGAATACTCGCTGCGGGCAAGAAATATACTCCTCCAGAAATCGAACAACATGGGATCAAATGTGGACGGGGATCGGATGGAACTTGATCCTGGCTCTCTCTCTCCAGCTTGCTGTACGGCATTGTAATTTTAGCATGTCCGTCGTCCGCAGGTCGCCTACAGGTCCGCGCCTCAGATCCATGTTCACCAACAAAGAACAATGGGGCAACGTACCGCAAAACCCCCTCTCATCGTCAACTGTAAGGCGAGAGCATCATTCCAAATCGACTCTCATCGCATCCTAGTCAATCAATCATCGATCGACCGTTTCTGTCGTGGATCCCGTCCAGGTAGTTTCAACATTTACCGAGCTTCTTAACGACAATTGCTAGAAGAACCAAGTCCCGCCGACGTATCTGTTCGTGCATGACAAGTAAGTAGTCGTCATATGTCTCGTATTGCCGCTCCCGCTTCCATCCCAGCCATGTAGATGCACTTTCTTCCCTGTTTCCAAAATTGGATGCACGAGTCTCGACTATTCCAGCCAGCTAAAAGTGACAGGGAACCGCAGGATGAGCTGCGAGCATCACACGTCAGAACCCTTGTTGCTCCCCACGCAGTACGGCATAAACACAGCACACCTGTACCCGGATTTCTGTACGGAGTCCCCCTCATTGCGACCCAGCTTAATACGCCTAGAGCCTTCATTCAACCCGCCACCAGCCACCCACCACCACCAAAAGAGCTCTCAGCCAGTCCTAAGCCTCAGACGGCCCATCAGCAGACTACCCTGACGATCATTCCCCCCTCCCTCTCGAAAATGCGTCGCCTTCGAGAAATTCGAAAGTTAGGGTTTCCGTGCGTTGCCGTCCTGCAAGTTGACGGCATCTTTCGAGTACGTACCTAATCCACCCTGCCTTTGGCTTCCACCCTGCTGTACACAGTGATACTACTAATGTACATCTGTACCCGTCGATATCGAATTGAATTACTCTCTAAACCGAAGTATTTGGTTATCCATACTAGTCACATTTTATATGTATGCCTCATTGTTAATAATATCAGTTGCGGGAAAGTGTACATCGTTCACGCCTTCGAATGGGAACGAATGCTTCTGTGTCTACTAAGTACATAGAAAAACATTACCTAGTGTTTCCTAACTTCAGCGCAGTCACTGAGACACAGTGGCGGAGTGGTTAACGCGCATCCCTGCTATAAACACGCTCCTCAAGAGCTAAACTCTTGTAAGGATGTCTCCTCGGAGGCGCAAGTTCGAATCTTGTCTGTGTCGACTCTTCAATTTTTTTTTCCCTCTTTTTGTTCGTTTTTTAATTTTCAAGGTATCCAACATTCGTCCAAGGACATAGAGAGCAGTAAGAAGCTCGCCGTCATAACATCAGCGCAGTCACTGAGACACAGTGGCGGAGTGGTTAACGCGCATCCCTGCTATAATTGCTGCTCCACAAGGGCAAAACCTTGTAAGGATGTCTCCTCGGAGGCGCAAGTTCGAATCTTGTCTGTGTCGGCTTTCTTTTTGTCATTTTAGCCTTCTTTATGTCCTTTTTGAACAGTGGCGTCCTCGTCGTTGTTCTGTGGTTCAAATAAGGCAGTTTCGCGAAGTCAGCCAATTCGAGTGTAATAATGCGCCCTTCGCTGATCTTCCGCAGCTCACTACATGACCGCAATGACTCAATGACAGAATCACCAGAGCGTCGTGGTCGACTGTAATTGGTCGCAGGGCTAAAATGTCCGGTCAATTAGGTGTATCAGAATGAAGCATCTCTCATTCTCTGAAACGAAGCCTGGACAAACAGGACTAGCATGGTGCTCCATCGACTAACACTAAGGATCTGCGCCAACGTCAATGCATATGTCCACCAGTCTATGAACAGTACCCAGTTGATTGGGTATCGATAGTTGCAGGTGCCACACTTCTCTATCTGGTCAAAGATGCAAGAAGAACCTACAGAACGGTTGGCTTAATGCCTAAGATTAAATCCGTTCGTATGCGTGATCTTGAGGTAGCGAGAAGGATGTCTAAGGTATTAAAATGGGTCCCTCCACTCGATTTGCGTCTGTGGTCCCGAGGTAGAAGGATATTGAAGAGGATACAAAGTGCAGCAGACTTGTACTTTATTGAGGACAGGCACAATGCTTCCAGTCTTCCCGAATGGAGACGTAATACAGTTGACAAAGTTACCTTAACGTTCATCCAAAAAGAGCCATCGACCAGGGACAGCGTAATCGCACCTCATGTTTGCAACGACCAAGCTTCCTACGAACTGCGCCACATCTCATAATCAGGAAGAGGAAGAGACAAAAAGAAAACCGACACAGACAGGATTCGAACCTGCGCCTCCGAGGAGACATCCTAACAAAGGTTGTAGAGCCTTTGTGGAGCAGCAATTATAGCAGGGATGCGCGTTAACCACTCCGCCACTGTGTCTTCTGGTATGACTAAGCACCCGATATCTCTACATATCAAGGGATTATGTAGTAAGCCGGAACACAAGCCTCACGAATTACTTTGCGACTCAAGGGATCACTTGAACAAAAGTGACGGGCGAGGGCTTGTTTACTCTGCTGTTTTAACTCGATATGCACATGCACTCTCACGCGCTGAATCGTGGTAACTAGCCTCCGCTCTTGAAATGCCAAAAAGAACTCCCGATGCCTCAGACGCAACATTTAGCTTCGGACTCACAGGAAACATTTCTAAAAACAGCACATATGCTCGTATTCAAGTACCGACCTTGCCCCAGCTCCAAACCAGGCACCGGCCGCATCAAGAGCGGCACGGAGCATGAAGCTAAACCTGATTTCCTCGTCTGGCAGATCTCTGATGAGCGTCTAGCTTTGAAAAGCAAGGAAAACATGCAGTTAGCAGGAGACGATGAAACACGCGGAGAAACGAGGACCACGCCCGGGTGGGTGGCAAAAACAAAACGGAGTTGCCATCCGAATGCAGCATCTGCGGCGAGAGCGCTCTGGGACCAACAAGGCGCTGACCGCGACCAAGGACCTAGGAGGTGAGATGAGGTCATCGCTGGGTAGCAAGGAAACGGCTTCAAGTTTTGGGGGGCCCTTGCCGGGGAGCCGGACGTGGGGGTTGTTCCTTGTTTCTTCACCACTTGGCTCTTCGTCAACTCGGTTGTAAATCGGACCCCGGGTCGCGCAGCCTCCGTTCCTCCCGGAGCTGCCTCCAGCCGGAGGTTCGCATGGAGGGGGCACAAAAGGGTAGGACAAGGTAGGTAGGAATGCAGTGCGCCGAACGGAGCCGCACGGCCTCGAAGCCGAGATCCGTCTTCAAGCGCACGGGATGTCCAGGCTTCAACTTCCAGTGAAATCGGCATTTGCTCAGTGCCGCAATGTAAACGTCAGGTCGTAAGCTGGTCTATTCTCTTTGCGATGGACTTCAGCGAACATCAGCAGCCTTCAGTGGCTTCTAATAGAGGTGCTCCCAGCGCTGTGCCGCCATAACAAGTACTTAACCAACCAATGCAAATCGTCCGGGGTAAAACGATAATGCGATCCCGCTGATAAGCCAGCTCACCGCGGCGCATACCAAAATTTCAACCTCCGAAAAGCGTCCATCTACACTCCCAACGACAACCATATCTCCACCCTCATCAACAAACCCACCCCCTCCAAACCGCCACGATGGATATGTGAGCTTCACTCTGCTCCGCTGTCAACCAGCCGAGCACTTCGAGAACTGACTCTCAATGCCCCAGGTTGACCGCCAACGAGCAGCGCATGCTGGAGCAGCGCATGCAGAAGCGCCAGGTCAAGGAGTTTATGGGCGTATGTCTCTCCTCCACGCCTCCTTCCGTTCCATCGAATTCCCGCTCTCGATGCATATGTTTTCCCTCAATGGATTAACTCGACTAACACATCCACCCTGCTTAGGCCTTTGGCGGTCTCGTTGAGCACTGCTTCGTTTCCTGTGTCGACGACTTCACCTCCAAGGCCATCTCCTCCCGCGAGGGCGGCTGCATCAACCGATGTGTTCTCAAGTGGATGGCTACGCAGCAGCGAGTCAGCGACCGCTTCCAGGAGCACAATGCCCAGCTCACTGCCCAGATGCAGAACCAGCAATAAACGCATACAAAGAACGAAACGAAAAAAGAACACATAACGGACAGTCGTCCGTCCATCCAATTCAACGTCCCGGCGGTGTACGCCATGTTGAAATGTATTTGGGATGAAGCGAACCCATATCTCTCTCAACCCTGGGGGGCCTTTGGTTGCGTTACAAGTGTCTAATGTGTGTATGAATACGAATCGGACAAGACAGACCTCGGTATTGGCGATTCTTGAGTGAAAGATTATCAACAATAGAAAGAGAGGTGACGAGTGGTGAGGCGGTGCGGACACGGCCTTGTAGCACCAACCTATTTGTGTACAATTACGACGGGACATAGAAAGGAAGTGATCGGCACTGGCGGCATACTCCTGGAATATTACCATTTCTACTCAACTCACCGTATAATGAATGGATTATGAACACTATGGAAGCGCTCGCTCCCCCGACCATTTGATGTGATAAAACCCAAGAACCATGTAGAAACAACGTTCATAAAAACTATCCTGTGTTAATGAGATATGACGCCCTCATTCCGTCCTTTCTTTCTCTACTTTTTTCTTATCACACAGACCGTTCTCTTCCCACGATACACTCGCGGCCCGTTGCCCAACGCCCTTGACCTATGATACTAAGTTAATTTACATCTCCATCCATCATTCCCAGTTCCATCCAGCCTCAGACCTCAGTGTCCTCGCTCAACACGTCGCGAACAGCATCCAACTGTGCCGCCGCTTTCTCCTCCAAAAGATTATCGCACCCAGCTGTGCTAGCCTTCATCCCTCGCCAGTCCACTTCGCGTTGGCCCAGGGGCATGAGACGTTCCTTGAGCAACTTCTTAGTCGAGAGCCAAAAGTCCACATTCTCCAACAGGCTCGCGGCATCCCATTCTACCGCAGAAATATCCCGATTATTGTTGACTCGAAGAGCCTCGATGACTCGCGTTAGTAGGGCCAACGAGTGTACTTCCGATATCGCCAAGAGCGTCAGGTAATGAGGTGATGATCGTGATTGGGTGCGACTGGCCCCTGGGGCCTCAAACCGATCCACGCTCGACTCTAGAAGATGAGGGAACTGGTTGAGCACATAAGAAATCTCCGGCGCGACAGTAGCCCCCAGAGCGGACAAGAGGTTCAGCATTAGGGGGAGTAGACCCTTGGCCCAGATTCCATAGCAGCGCTGTGCCACTGGGGCATCAGAGTAGGGTGAAATGTTGGACTTGAGCATGAACTTAGTCAGATTGGCCGATAAGATGTTGCTCAGTATACCATCGCATGCCATCTGCTCAGCAAGTAGCGGAAGCGTCGAGAGCTCGAGTAAAAAAAGAATGCTGAGCTCGCCGTAGATGGGATCTCCTTGGTCTGCCAGTTTATCCGCCCATGAATAGAGCGATGTGGCAGCATGCATGACTTGGTGCTCGGCCATGATATTGAGAATTTGAACCTGCGACTGATCTATGCTGGGCACGCTCAGGCTCGCTTGCAAGATAGCAGTCAGAAGTGCGAGATCTTCTGGCGACACGGTAGTCTCGTTGTCATGGATGAGGCTGACCAGTGCGCGGAATCCTCTTCCAACCACGCGATCGAGGACGTTCAGCACGGTCTGGACGACAGTAACAGATGCCCCCTCCAGGCCGTCTTGAGACTCAGGCGTGGCTCTGTTGCCCTTGGTATGGTAAGCGCGGAGGGTGACGAAGAGCGCCTTAAGCAAGGTGCGATAGTATGAAATGGACTCTGGCCCAAATGGCTCTTCGACGCCGTTCATTGTCCCGACCAAGGTGGCCAGAAGTCGGTTGATGTCCTTAACCGGAGTGGAAGACTTGACCGATCGTTGAATCAACACCAGCGAGAGGTTAGCTCTAGCATCGATGAGTTTCAGGAAAATGCTTTCTGGTCCGGAGATTCCTTGGTTGGCGTTCAGGCATTGTTGCGAGACCTGTAGCATCTGCTTAGCGACAGTGTCATCATCTGGAAGACACGTGCTGAGCTCCACAAGAAGGAACTCCCATGCGTGAAAGAGGGCCTATACCAATCATTAGTCGTAGCACGGAGACAAACAGTTGAGTGACTTACAATCTGAGCATCAACCAGGGACAGGTTTGTGTTTGCAAGTTCCATCTCCATCTTGAATCCATTGTCCTTCCGCCCGCTCCATCCTGGGTCGAACTTGAGCATCTCCTCGGCACGCTCCAGGTTGTAGTAGTAGCT